TGACACCATGGAAAAGGTATCAGCAAAATCCAGTTTGTGAGAACATCTACAGGACAAGTGATCTGGTGACTTCTTTAAACAAATAATGAGGAGGAATTAAAGAGTCTTAACTACATTAAGTCTCAACCACAAATTAAGAGAAACTTAAAAAGACGTGTATCAGATGAGGTGAAATTAGTTTTAGTTTTATTACTTGGATGATAAAAATCATACAGAGAAGTGAGGAAGTGGCTGCTATAAAAATTCAGAAGACTGTCTGCTCTTGAGAGAGGAGGTTAGGAGGGGACCCTGTTTGGGAGCGGACAGGTAGACAGTTTTTGAGGTAGCAAGTCCAGTCTCTTGATATGGATGGTGGTTACAAGGAGGTTGCCTTATAAGAGTTCATTAAGCTCTCTATGTGTTATATGGTGTTCTGATTTTGTGTTATATTTTAAAATAAAGAAGCTTAAAACACAGATTTATAAATTATAAATCCTTTTTAAATTTATTAATCCTTAAATTCTTACATAAATGCACTAGAGTGTCTGAAAGACCAAGTCAAAAAGTTCTACAATCTCAGGATGGGGAAAGAAATACTTTAACAAGGTTAATGTATAAGGTGAGGGAGAACTAGAGAGGATATAAAGAGCTGTAGTTTTACTACTGCAAAAAATGTTCCCTCTAATGACAGTAGCATTTTGTCTTAACCATAACTGTGGGGGTTAAGGAGAAATAAAAATACAATAAAATTAACTGGAATTAGTTAATCTTTAAAGACCTTCTAGCTGTAACTTTAATATTCTAAAACTCCAAGAAGACAAACGATCCAATCAAAAAATGGGCAAAGGACCTGGGCAGACGCTTTTCCAAGGAGGAGATACAGAGGGCCCAGAGGCATTTGAAAGGATGCTCAGCATCACTAGCCATCAGAGAAATGCAGATCAAAACCACCATGAGATACCACCTCACACGGTCAGAATGGCCATCATAAACAGATCAACAAACAACAGGTGCTGGCGAGGCTGTGGAGAAAAGGGAACCCTAGTACACTGCTGGTGGGAATGCAGACTGGTGCAGCCACTGTGAAAAGCAGTGTGGAATTTCCTCCAAAAGCTGAAAATGGAACTGCCTTTTGATCCAGTGATTCCCCTACTGGGACTATACCCTAAGAACACCAACAAAACGCCAATACAAAAGAACCTATGCACCCCAATGTTCATAGCAGCACAATTTACAATAGCCAAGTGTTAGAAGCAACCTAAATGCCCATCAGTAGATGATTGGATCAAAAAGTTATGGTACATATACACAATGGAATACTATGCAGCAGAAAGAAAAAAAGAACTACTAAACTTCGTGACAGCATGGATGGAACTCGAGAGCATTACGCTAAGCGAAATAAGCCAGGGGGCGAAAGACAAATACCATATGATCTCACCTATAAGCGGAACCTAACCAACAATACAAAGATGCAAGGAAAATAAGACTAGCAACACTGAAAGGAAAAGAAATCAACAGAGACAAGAGGGAAGGGGGGGGCGGGGAAAAGGAAGGGAAGGGGAAAGTCAAGGAACATATAGCAAGGACTCATGGACAAAACCAAAGGGGAAGAGCTGAGGGAGGGAAGGTAGGAGGGGGCAAGGGAAAGTGGTGGGGGGTAGGCAGAGACAAATGTATTTGAAAAAATAAATTAAAATTAAATTAAAAAAATAAAATGCAGTCAGTATTTAATAGGAAAATGCACGCACAAATTTCACAGGGGAGAAAATTCTGATCTAGGACTTTCTCAGCAAAGAAAATTGATAGAGGTATTAAGATTTAAATAGAAAAAAAGATCTTGGAAAACCATAAAAGCCTTATCAAACCTGTAATATAAATGTAAATAAATTATCATTCCAAAAATACCATCAAATGGTTTACCAGGAATCTGTGTTTGGAGGGAGCCCTAACAAGAGCCCCCATGCTCTCTCCTTACCCATCCTCCCAACTGCACGGGACAAAGGTGTGGGAGGGGAGCAACTCCTATCATTTTAACTATCCAAAAACTGTATATGGCAGAGGCTGGCTTTGACTACAATCCTAATAGAAGAGGGGCTAGAAGGTGGGGTGGGGTGGGGGCGGGAGTGGAAGGAAACAATATAGTAACTATATCTTGTATATAATACAGATTCAATAAATACCTCTTAGTTGATAGAAAAGGGAACACAGGCATTTTAAATTTTGGAATCAGGGTAATGACAAAATTCTTGAGTTCTCCATTTTCAAAAAGTCTGATAGCAGGTTTTCAACTTATATCAATAAAGTTTCTTGTAAACTGTTTAGCCCACCTTGAATATCTCAAAATATAATGAAATAAAGCAGCAATAGGCAATTATCATCAATAACTCTTCCTTAGTTGCCTCTTTCCTTCTAAATAAAGGTATGTTTCTACATTTTAATTTGTCCTAATCTCTGCACTCATTTTTCCTAACTCCTCTATTTTGCACTATATAATGTGCACCCACGTTTTGTGTGCGTTATGCATGGGGTTATTATATCCATTATTATACCCATGGTATGTAATCATTATACCTATGTACAATGTGCATCCTTATTTTTCCCTCAAAAATCTGGGCCAAAGGGTGTGCATTATACACAACAAAATACGGTAGTCTTAATTTTCTTCCCATGACTTGGTGAGGTCTCTACCTTGTTCACCTCTACTTCACTGAGTTCCCAACAGCTGGGAATAAAACATCTCTTCACCAAAGCAGTTTAAAAAGTCACTAATATGAAGGCTTAAAAACACACAATGGATTTTATTCCCCTCAAAGAGAAGGGTGAGATGAACAAAATAAAAAACCTTGCAAGAAGAAAACACAAAGAGGAATGTGCCCAGCTTTTCATGAGTTAGTGGCATGATTTTTTTCATTCAATATGTTCCACATGTATCTCTTTGTGCCAGACAACACAGTTCTGACTTCTCTTTCCATCTGCAAACTCTAGCTACTATTAAATGCAATTAAAATCAAAATGACCATATTTCTAATTGTTAAGGAAACTATTTTCTTCCTCATCCCGTAATCCTGGGAGCCCTTAATATAAGTACATCAGCTTTCTCAAATATGTTATAGACTCATCTTTAAAATGCGACAATTCACTTATGGGACAATTTCCTATCAAGACCATGTTTCTTTATACAGGTTTAATGTGCCAAAGGTACCTATGAATACGTGACATCTCAATCCTGTCTGCCTCACATCTTATGGGAACAGAGAATCCCACAGTCTAATGCAGATCCCTCTCTCTTTCAAAGCCTAGATAAGAGGAGAAATTAGAGAACCCACTTTGGTCTTGGATCCAAGACATATTCCTCAATTCAGCTTTAAGCTAATTCAGTATTTAAGCTAATGTTTTACATCCTATTACATACCTGAGCACATTTTTCAATTGGTTCAGAACCGGAAGTGTAAAATGGTCATCCCCAAGCCACAATACCAACCAGAAAATATGAGTGTCTGGATTAAGTTAAGTAAGAAATTAAACAAAATGAAACAAAACAGAACAACAAAAACATACACACATACAAATTCTCTCCCTCTACTAAATCAACCAGACAGCTAGAGTACTAGGAATGAGGAGAATCTTTAAAAATTTAGAATAACTTAAACCTACCTGATCCTGAAACATATTATGAAGCAGCTTACAGAGACATACAACAAATATGTATAAACTTAAAATCCTCTACTTTTTATTGTTGTATAGGCATCTCTTGCTCTGTTTTAGACACCACAATCCTTTCATGCCCATCTGTTTTCGCCCATCTATTTTCATTCATCTACCACACCTAGAAGTACCGCCCCCCTCCAAAAAGGCTAAGGACCTCAAATAATTTCTATAAGGACCTTCTATAATGATCCCTAATAAGTCACCTTCTTCTCCATCAAAAGAACTGATTTCGGACAATGGTACCAAAAGATACCTGTATTAGAGGCCTATGATCAGCTTCTGTTATTCAAAACACAAACATTCGCACACTCTAATTTCCTATTTGGCTATTCTCTCTCTTTCCTTCAGATTCTGTTGTCTAAAACTGTTTCCTTGAATTATACTTAATCCACCAAATCATTTCTAAAACTTTTCATCAATTAACTTGCTAAGATAATCTATTTTGTACTTTTGTAACCATATTAACAAAATCTTTTTTTCAACAAAGCAAATCTCAAACCTCCTCTTTCCCAATGATGCCCGTTAGTGCTTTAACCTCATTATATAACTTTGTTATTTATTGAGTTCTAGAGCTATCAGGAAATCTACATGTCCTGGACAGGAGAAATATTTTTCCTCATCGCCTGTATTTTTTCCGTCCCATTTCTTCTGAGTCTTCTACTCATTCTTAGTACTGCCGGTCTATCTGATCTCATGCTCTTTCTCTCAATTCTGATTCTTTCTAGCTACTCATACATTCAATCTCTTAGAATCGACATGATAATTTTGGTGTCCAACCTTCATATATTTCTTTAATTGTCAGTTTTTATAAAAGCTATCACTCCATAAATATTCCAAACATTATTAACCACAGCAACTTGTTATTTATCGTCAATCGACTTATAATGCGAAAGTATTCCCACTTCATCCTAAAGAAAGTTAAATACAAAAATCAAAGTCAGTAGAAAAAAACATTACATACAAAATGTCTGTCATTTGGTTCATTTTAAAGCATTTATTAGTTCATCTAACATGATGTTAAAACAATGAACTTCAGGTTTAGGTTAGTAAGAAAAAGATAAATTCTCTAATATTAAGTGCTATGTATCATTTATTCCTTTCAGAATAGCATCCCAATACATACCTCTGAATAAAATGAATTTCGCCTGGATTTATCCAAGTAACACAGAATGATTCAACATTATTTTATTATTATTTTAAAAGATTAAAATGTGCCCTATAGACAGCAATGACTCAGTATGCCAAAAGGTATAAGAGTTAACTAAACTGACCATTTACTGAAACTTAAAACTTAGTTAAGAGGCTGTAGTTACCTCTTTTTGTAGATGAAGTTTGAAGCAACTGTTTGGCTTTGAGGGAAGTACGAGGCAAATTTTTCAGCCTTTGCGAAGCTGTTGAAAAATAAGGAACTGTAATATTTGCCTGGAAGAACAAGATAAAGGCTATAGCTTCTGTAAACTTGAATATTTTAATACAAACTTGAAAATTTATCAAGAAACAGAAACTATAAGGTGAAATATTAGAGCCCTAGAAGCAGTGATGCTTAGTGTATTAAGTTGGAAAGGAAAGGGGATGGAAATCTTAGTGCAAAGTGTGCATACTTTCAGAAAGTGTCTTACAGATGAGAAAATCTACAATATGTAAACTGATCAAAATATCAAAGAAAAAACAAACCACCAGCAAACATGCTACAGATGCAAAGAATAAAGAGCTAATTAATTAAAAGTGATGAACACAAGCACACAGTATAGAATAAAATAAATGTAGTACTTGTTCAATGCAAAAAAGCGGACTTTGGCAAAGCGGTTATTGTTAGATGAACTGTCCTAACATGAAACTGTAATCCCCATACTCAAAAAGGAGAAGAAAACTCAGAACCAGGCAGATCCTCAAGTGGTCAAAATCTAGTGCCTTTCTTATGTTCAGCATCATCTTGTTGTAGAATACAACTAATCTGTAATTCAGATTTTGGGTAGCAAAATATCCGGGCTGTGAACATATGCTTATGGGGTGGGAAGGGTGTGTGTTGCGGGGGGCAGAGTTGAGGAGTTTAGAGGAGTCAGAGCATCTACTTTTTAAGGTAATCAACGAGGAGTTCCAAGCTTTCTTCAAAACCCTTATTAATTGAAACAAAACTCTCAAAACTGGCATGTAAATGGCAGTCAGAGCCGTCCACAGTTAAAGCTTACTATGGTCCCAATGAGGTGATGAGTCCCAGACCTACCAGTGCAGGCACCTATTTAAATGGCTTTAAAATTTCACTCAATCAATTTGAAAATCTCTAAGCTAAAATATATATACGTATGTGTGTGTCTATGTATGTGTGTGTGTGTGTATGTGTGTATATGTGTATATATATATATGAGAAAGAGATTCCAAAACTATAAATCTGGCCAGAGTATAAAAAGTTATTGGACTGAGAAAGGGAAACTTAATATATCATCGAAGAGAATTAAGAATTTCTCTTTTACTCTGTTGCTTAACCCTATCAATGCTTTCTGATAGTAAACATTCAAAAAAAGTAATAAATGTAATTGATTTCAAATTTCACAGCACTCCACACATTACTGTAGCTAAATATTTTATGGCAACTTAAATATTGCTAGGCAGACTAGCAAAAAACTCTCCTATCTTAAAAAAAATCAATTTTGTAATGCTTTACCTCATATCAATCCCATAGAAATACAGGATGCTATCATCACTGAATATTCTTCATTTACATATTTATTCATACAGGCTTTCAACCATTTATACTTTCATTCATTTACTCATTCATTTTCTCTCTCTCTCTCTCTCTCTCTCTCTCAAATAGTTATATACTTTATTCCTGATACTATTTTAGGTACAATGGATTCAGTAGCTAACTAGAGACAAAGTTCCTACTTTCAGGGAACTAACATTCTAGGAAAGGAGAAACAGATAATAAACAAAGAGTAAAATATGTATATGACCTTCCAGATGGCGATAGTTACTATGGGAAAAATTAAGTAGGTAGGAAAGGGAGACAGGAAGTAGGAGACTTAAGTTGCAATTATAAATTGGGTGATCAGGAAAGATTTCCCTAAATAACACTTGTGCAAGATCCAAAGGAAGAGAGGAAGTGAGTTGTGTAGATATCTGGGGAAAGCCTTCTCGACAGGAGGAAAAGCAATGGTAAAGGCCTGAGAGGTGGAGTATGACTATGTTGGAAGAATAGGAATTAGGTCACTGTGATTGCAGTGGAATAAATGAGGACAAAAGGTAACCAACTGTATGTTATGCTGGCAATCCACAGTATCTACTAACCATTAAATTTTTAAAAATGAGGGCTTAATATCAAGTATCATCTTTAATCAACAGTTTTGGAAAGGTCCTATTTAAAATAAATAACTATGATGATTCCAGCAGATCTTATTTATCCCTCAAGTTTCATGGGTGATGTCACAATGGCATCTATACACAAGTGAAAACTGGCCAATGGTAATTCGAAGGCTCAGACTACATATAGAATCAGGCAATAAACTCCAAATTTGCCTGATAAAGACAGAATGAAATGAACAATTTTCATAGGATACCATGTGGTCACATGTTATCCAAAGAATAAAAACTAAAATTTTATCTAAATTATCAATCTTAATTTGATCAGTTTTCAAAACACAAAATCGTTTTTAAATGTCAAAGTATAGTAGTTAAACTGAAAGTCTCCAAATCTTTCTAATAAAATTCAATGTGTTAGTTGCTTTAAAATATTATGGTTTCCCTGATTCCTCTTTTAATATTTATATAATTTCAAACTAGTAAGACCCACTGTGAGAAGCAAAGATGGTACATTATTTACTCATGTTACCATTATTTAGGCTAATATTTTCCTCTACAAACCAACTCCAAAAAAACCCCTCTGTATTTCTGTTACACATGTAACATCAATTTCCAAGTCATTCTAGCTCACAGCTTTCTTCGAGTTCCATTTATTCGCCCCTGTAGTTCTATAGATCTATTCCTTCCTTTATATCCCCATTGTCTCCTAAATACCTAATTCAGACTGTCATCACCCTATTTTTGGACTAGAACAGTGTCTTTTTTGGGTCTTCCTACATCCAATCCTTTCACTTCATTCATGTACATCAAGGGAGGGATGGTTAAAAATGCTGCCCTATACCACACCACCCCCAAGTGCAGGCAATAAGTGAACTGCACTTGGGGGTCTGTAAGAAAATTCAGAAACAAAAATAAAACAAGCTTGTTTTTTTAATCATCATGTCCCAGCAGTAATAATGTCAGTGATAAAATGCTCCTCCCTGAAGAAAATATTGCAATTTGTTGGCCCAATTTACAAACAATTGCTGCAGATACGCTTGAGTTTTAATAACACATATGTAGCTTTACATTAGCACATTTTACTATTTATCCTTCAATAATTAATGCATTTCATATTAAAGATAATTAGGAAAACCCCCAGTAATATAGTCTCCCCTGACACAGGTGGATTCAACTACATGTTTCTTTCAAAAGTAAGCTCAGAGCAATTTAAATCATGCTCACCTCAGCAGAGTATGTGCCCAACCCCTGTGGTACAGTAATATAGTCCAATATTTAAACAGATTAGAAATAAACAATGATGGTATAATGATTATAAAATCAATGAAACAATGTTAAGTTACTCCAATTCTGTCATTATATGTGATTTTGAGTACACAAAATTTTTCAACTGTGAAGATTTTTAAAAATCATTAGACTTGATTCACAAAGGAACAAAGCCAAACAGTATGGCAATTTCTGAAATTTAGTGTAAAATGGGATTTTATGAGTATGTGCCAAATTTATCCTTATGTTGAATATCATTCCTATTTGTATAGTAATTGCTTCATTACCAAAAAAACCCCTCTCAATTAAAAATTGAAGACTGTTCTTCAATCAATATGAGTGAAGATAAACTGATAAAATCTGGATATAGTGTGTATTGCAAAGATCAATTCTGAAAAAATTATTGACAAATTTTATTTTATATTTTAAATTACTGACAAATTTTAGAAGCTAAAACTATAATACTACTATATTGATAGATCAATATCTGAAAATATTTTTCCATTAAAAATGATTAATGTAATTAATTTAAAAGCATCATCCCATTATCTTTTGGGGGGGTACTGTATGTTTATTTTATTATTTATTTTTTACTGACAGTTATAAAACAGAAAGTTCAATAAAAGAGTATTTCACAGTCTACATTTTTTCCTAGCCATTATTATTATAACTCATCCCATTTAATTATTTAACATAATTTTATCATATGGGGACTTGTTAAAAATAATCTTCTCTGGGTGCTAAATACTAAGGAAGCATAAGTCACTACAAATGAACGTTAATTACTGCCAGGTAAAATGACCCTTGTCCCCCGGCACACCAAGCGTTTTCACTGCTTAGAGAGTCATCCTTTAATCCCCTCTCCCTCTCCATCTCCAATCTTTTCAGTGTTACCAAGTCATGTATCTCTCTTTCATTTTAAAAATTCATCCAGATCGTATCACTGCCTGCACCACTGTCTTTGTTCACATTTTTTACATGGATTATGCAATAGCCTTCTAAGTGGTTTCTAGTCTCTCCTCAACTTTAATCCACTTTCTATACTGCTGCCAGATTGAATTTTCTGAGAAGTAACCCTGATTGAAAGTCTACCATTGTTCTCTACACTTACAGGATAAAATATAAACTTCTTAATATGAAATTTAAAACTCCCACAATCTGTCCCCTACCTACATCTCTCATCCTTAAGACTTCATTATTGATCTCACTGTTGGGAAAACTGTACCTCCTTTCTTTTTGTGGCAACTTATAAAATCCTTCTAAACTGGCTGAGATTATCTTTCAATATCTTTCCCGAAAACCACTTCACACTACTGAATTTAACGCCTCTCTGTTCTCACAGAAGTTCCTGCCTATTACTCTCTGCTACTTAAGCGCTTGGCTGTCTCATTCACATTATATTCCGAGTGCTTGGAATATAACATACATCCAAAATAAACATCTACTAAATAATTAAGGAACACATAAGTGACTGACAACTGTATAAACTAAGCATTCAAGATCCTCTACAAGTGAGGTCTAATCCAGTGGTTCTCAAACTTGAATATGCTCCAGAATCAGCTGAGAGACACATGTAAAAAACCAGATTCTGGTTCCCATCCCATATGTATTTATCAAATTTTCCAGACGCAAGGGCCAGAAAAACTACATTTATAAAATCACTTCAAGACTAGATAATAGACCCAACATCACTACACTGCTTATGCTTAAACAGAAGTTCTACAAATACCTCATTCATTCTTTTATTAATTCACTACACAAGTTTATCATGACTTATTTTAATTTGTTTTATAATTATGTAAAATTCAAGTATAACCTTCTAGGGTTTGGTTCCAAGTAAAATTTGGATAAAAAGTCCATCCACATGGGCCTCTAGCTATTGGTAAAGCTGACAAATGGTCCTATCTCCCTTTTTTCTGGAGGTTTACTTTGTCGTCTATACAAAAATATTCTTCAATTTGGCTAAATGTTAAGCCATGGATAATATTACACTGAATTATCTTGCTCTTTTCGGGCAATTCAGGGTGAATCATGCTTCAGCAAAGACATCCAAGAATGTTTTCCAAGATGCCGACTCATGTGCAGTTAGGTCAGCAGGACGCAAATCCAAACGCTGCCTGGGAGGAAATCAGGGGGCTCCTGGAGGAAGGGGTAATTTGGCTTGGTTTTGCCACTTTTCTAGTTATATGATGTTGTATGTATAATTTATATGGATCTCTGATTCCTCTCTATAAAAATAAGAAATGGGTTGTTATGTTCAAATGAAATAATACATATGAAAGTAAACACTTTAAAATACTAATCAAGTTTGAGTATTGTTACTTTTCTTAAACCAGCAGACTGTCTTGGATTTTTCTCCCTTCTCTTTCCTTATTTCTGAACAAATAATTCCTATATTTTTCTGAAAACTAAACTTTCTAATAACCCGTACTCTAGTGTAATCTTAGAAAGTAAGGCACTTGGTCTTTTGAAAAACTCTGTCCCTGACAAACATTCCTTTCTTTAGCTTGAGAAACTGAGAAAATGACATGTACATATGACCTCTGCAATGCTCTGGTTTTCTTAAACTTTTTAAGTAACTCACATTTTTCAAACATAAAAGTCAATAATTAATAATAGATATAAAAATGAAAATATACAAGAACTCTCATAATATTCATATTTGAATGCCAGCATCCACAATAATGCAGCCGCAGAAAGTATGCATATAAAACTAGTGATTGGCAGAATAACAAGGCAAAAGAAGTAGTCCCTTAGGTGGAAATAACAGCAACCTTGCAAAGTTAGGTTCATGCAGATCAGCAAGTAAGAACCAAAGCTTTACCACTTAAGAGCTGGAAAAACAAATATTTAAAACAAAGTGCAACATCTATTATACCAACTCTATAAAAAATATGGAATACTAATTCATGTATAAAGTGTATAAAATTTGCTATTATATTTGTACATAATTATATATCAAGGTAAAAAGGCCATTATGAAAACAGTATATAATACATACACACTAAAAAACACACACATATATACACATTTTTATGTATCAAAGATATGTGTAAAATTTTAGGAAATATAGATAGCAAGTTTTTAAAAAAAGGTGGTACCCTACCTTCTCTTCTGACTGTAAATTATTCAAATATTGAAATATACCACTATGAAACTGCATACATATTTAAACACTTAAAAGTAAATTAGTTATTAGATTTCATTATGCCTCCCTGTATTTTTTCCTTAATTATCAACTTTCGGGGGAAAAAGGAAAACAAATTCACCTAGAATAAACATTTCTAGGGAATTAGCAGCTGATTATTCAGTGGTAATTCTATTACTAGAGACAGAGAGCTATTATCATAGACCTTAGCATATGGTCTATGATAATATATTTTTTCTATTATTAACATTTTTATCCTAGTTATCATCCTTTCCTTGCTTCAACTATTTTTGTGAAGAATTATTTTTCATTTTCATACAGCTTTGAGCTGCTACAGTAATTCAAATAAAGAGCATGTATGAGGGTACAGGAAACAACACTGGGTAAAGAGCTGATACTGACAATGGAGTAAGAGGATATAGATATAGCTGGTGTTATCACAGAACTGGGAAGCTGTTTGAAGATGCACTGTGTAAAGTTTTGAGAAATTCAAAACTTCAAAATTAAAATAAAAAAGAAGCACCTTTGAAAGTCAAGTACACATGATGTTTTGGATTATCTGTGTATAGGGTATAAAAGTGAGTTTTATTACTTAATCTTCTTAATGATATAAAATCTTCTGTTGTATTAACACTGTGGATCACTTTGTTTCAGGCAAATATACCAAGGAGAGGGAAAAAAAAAAAGAAACAGGATTTTTCACGTGTTAATTTGCAAGTTTAGAAGCAAAAACTATCGCCACTGTATGGATAACTTAAGAGTTCAAATTATACCTTTACTTTCATTTTTAAACTTTTTGTGAATTCCTGTTTTCTTTACCATTTCATGAGTGTCATAATGGCACTCTTAATTACAGAGTTTCACAAGACCTAGAAAACTAAGTTTAAAATTTAATTTGGTACACAGACATGTTTTTGTACATAACCAGTCAAATAAACGAGGTATACAAATCTGTGGGTAACAATTTTCCACAGCGCCTTACATTTTAGAGTTTATCTTAGAACAAAACAGAAACAGTATTTCTGGATAACTTTTATGTCTCAGTACTAAAACCAAGGATGTGACAGGTCCCAAGGCAGACTTGGGCCCTTGAGCAGAGTGAATACAGGTTTGAAACATGACTTGCCACTTAAGAGCCATAAGATCGTAGATAAGTTATTTAACTATCCAAAGCATCAACTTCCTAATAGGCGTAATGTGTTAATAATTGTATGCACTTGATAGAACTGTTCTGAGAAGTTAAATAGGATACAGTACAGTACAATGAAAGTTTATATAAATAATATAAATATCATATGCAATTGGTGAATAGAGAAAATTTATCAATATTTTCACAAAAGTCATTTGGGCTCAAATGTATTTTTTTCCTGGCCTGTTGATTTTTGAGCCACCAAGTAACAGCAGCTTAATACAAAGTATACAAAAAGTCAGCTAAATACAACAGAACCAAGGAAGAGTACAAGGGAATTAAAAAATAATTGAATGCTTCCAAAGTTGTATTACTAGTAAATAAGTTATAAATGAAAAGATAGTCAATAATGTCATGTTTGTATCTTCTTCCTCACAGCTTTGAGGAAATGAAGAAACATATCACTGATAGTGATATGCTACAAAGGAACCAAATGAATCAGACAATAGGACTGAGGTGAGCTGTGGGATACAAGGCATAAATATTGAGCATTTCTAAGACTGTAGAAATAACTGTGACAGTTTGTTTAATATTGGCTTCACTACTATCCGAGTTATAAGCAATACTTTTTGGAAAGTGTTTCATTCTTTTTAGATCACCCTATACCTTAAGTACACAGTGCCCATCTACAGTACCACATCACTTCTTGGCTCACTCTTTCTTAGGAGTTTTTTCTGCATGATTTCCTTTGATTTTTGTTTATATTGCCCACGTCTCCTTAATTCAACAGTCTCAACTGTTCCTTTCCATCAAGTCGCCTTTGACTATTTTTAAAAGTGAAATTTGTATTTGTTGGAGTATTTATTCATTAAGAATTAAATGCTTTTACTTGTGCTAATACTTTTATAAGATCATTATTGTCTTTATTAGTGCTCTGGGAAGGAAGCTGCTTGGGTTTTAAGTGGTCTGTTCTAAAACTACTGTCCCCCCAAATCCTGTCACTTATAATGTGCAGTATTGTAGAATGTGAGGTTTTTAAGGAACATACAGGGTCTGGCACAAATAACGTCCCTTTTTTATTACAAAATCATAAGTATGTAATTCTGTAACTAACAATATCACACTCAAGCACACCATATAACATTTTAGATGAAATGTTCAAATTAAAACTATAAACTATTATACCCATGTTATTAGCCTACCAACCACACTCACGTAGGCATTACTTCTGCTGGACCTTGTATATTTTTCTATTAAATAGCTAGACTTTGCTTATTTTAAAATCTGGGGAGACAGAGTTTCATACAGATACAAGAATTGGGTATCTAATAGGGACAACTTTTAAATTATAATATAATTACAATTATCTTACAGCAAGTAATAGTCACTATATTTTACTAAATAGTTTAATATAGCTATTCAGCACAAAAGTAATATCTACAACATGAAAGATACTCACTGGCTGAAGCCTGAGGTTGCATGCGAGGTATTCCTCCATTTGGCACTTGAAAATTTGAGTCACTTCTGCTGCTTTTCACTGAGTCAACTTGTATGTTAGATGTTCGGGACAGGTTTGGAAGACTGCGTCTTAGTTTTTCTGTGATGACAGAATTTTAATTAAAATTTGTTTTCAGATGGAAAAAGAAAATAATCAGCATTCAAAAATCAAATTATTTAAGCATTCTGTATATTTTAGAAGAGGTAACAGGAAGTAAATATCTTATAACAATATACAACTCAACCCAGAGTCTGTGAGTAGAACAAGAGAAACTTTAAAATGAACTAGAAACTATTTAAATAAAAAAAAACTATATACAGATCACTTCATGAGTAGAACAAAGCAAAACTAACATGATCAGATAAAACTAAATTCACTTTCTCCTTTAATTTTGTTTTGATTCACCATTAATAAAATGACAAACTAAATTCTTGATCTACTTATCTGAAATACAAAACCTTGGTGAAAATTGTTACTTCATACTGAAATATGAGGCAATAATTTTTTCCAGAAACATTCTGATTACCTTCATTTTTCACACTGCTTGTCTGTAAATCTGTGGGATGGCCTTGAAGTGAAAGGCGAGGCTGCTGTAAGCGGCTAATCATAGGCTGTGGGGACACTCTACTATATTCTATTCCCCGAGCAGGAGATCGTGAACGAGGTGAATTTCTGGGTGACTGCTTAGGTGATGGTCGAGGTGAATTGCGTGGTGATGGTGAAAACCTGTTAACAGCAGGGTATACTGCATGATGCATATTGTCATCTTCATCATCTAAACTTTGTGCATCAAGTTCCTGATCACTAAAAGTACCCCGTCTTGTAGAATTGCAAGATGAACCAGAACTGCGCCGAGATGTGGTGGCTGCATATTCTTGCCGAAGACCTGACGATAATGAATGTGTAATTTTATTTCTTTAGTTATATTTTTAAACATTCAAATATTTTTAAGGTTTAAAAACAAAAGATTATCATTGAGAAATTCAAATAGGGTATAAAGTAAAGAAAAACTGTCCACTTGAATCATCTTAGAAATCCTCTCATAAGGAAGCATAAACCACATCTAAAAGGTTATTTTTAAAATGAATGAAATTTTATAAATCTTTGCCCAATGCCAACAGTTCTTCTTGAAATCTTAAATCTGTATCTATATTACAAGTAGAACCATAAATTTAAAAATATTTCTATTCCTAAAAACAGTAATCCAAATTTGAGATTAACATTAAAGGAAGCAATTACTGTCTAGTCAATAAAGAATACACAATAAGTAAATAAACTCCCTAGATACCAAATCCTTGGGTAATCTTATTCAAAAAGTTGATGAAGGAAACTTCTATCCTACCCTTAGGAATTCAGTATTTGGGCATAAATGCAATTTCCATTACTTCATAACCCAAGAGATGTCAATAACATAAGCTTAAATTCTAAGCCATTGAGTGAAAATTTTCAAAGGAGTCCCTTACGTATCCTGATACCTCCAGAAACACCCAAGCAACCTGAGAAGCCCATTAAATAAAATAAAAACTTCTAGAATAAAAACAATTGTTGATACATATTAAATGAGAAAAAAATACAATTTGAAAAAAGTCTTTAGACATTTTAGATAGAATTTAGATCGTTTTTAGATAGAATTTAGATACTTTGAGCAAGCCCTGCTAACTATTAGCACAGTCTAGTCTAAAAGATCTGTTAGAAAAGTATTCAGACTTTTAAGTTACATATTCATACAGTAGTCCCTCCTTATCCACAGTTCCACATTTTGTGGTTTCAGTTAATCGCAGTCAACCATGGTCTGAAAATATTAAATGAAAAATTCTATAAATAAACAATTCATAAGTTTTAAATTGTACGCAGTTCAAAGTAGCATGATAAAATATCACAACATTCCTCCCCAGTCCTGCCTGGGATGTGAATCACCCCTTTGTCCAGTGTATATGCTGTATATACAGTATCATAAGATATTCTGTGTGTGTGTGAGACTACATTCACATAACTTTTATTACAATATATTGCTATAATTTTACTGCTAATCTCTTACTGTGCCTAATTTATAAATTAAACTTTATCATAGGTATGTATGTATAGGTAAAAAACATAGCACAAATTCAGTACCAGGCATCCACTGGGGGCCTTGGAAAGTATCCCCTGCTAAAAGCAGGATTGGGGGGAGCTACTGTACAAAGAAAGTGCTTTCAATATGGCTCTCTGAAGTGGTGAATGAGAAGCACACACGGTATCCATAAAACTCAGGTTCCCAGGGCCCACCTAGCCCTTCAGTCAGGTTTGGGGACCACTATATTAACCAACAAGTTACTTAGTGTCCTATAATAGCAAATATGACACTAAAGTTACCTGACAAAAGACAACAGACAAGTGAAAAGAACTCCGTTTCGGAAAAGAAAAATCCAAATCCCAATTCAGGCTCTCCACAAACAAGAGGAGCCTAAGGAAGTCAAAATCACTATGGGACTGTGTATTTCTCATCCTCAAAATGAGGGGGCTTAGCCAGGTGACAGACAGCTCGAATCTGTAATTCTACATTTCTCTTACCAAGAAACTGGAGAAACAATGTTGTAAAAAGGAAAATCATTCTCTTAAAAAAGAAAACTGGTGTTTTCAAGGAGAAATCGCACACATTTTTGTTATCTTTTTTAATTCACCAGGAAAATAAATATTTGTACATCTAGATGGCTTAGAAAGGATTTTTAAAGTAAGGCTAAAATTTCTTTTACTTGTTAGTAAGCACAATATGAAAGCTATAGAAATGGTTGCATTTCTAGCAAAATACTGGGGTCTAAAAAGTCAGGGTTCAAAAAAGAATTGGTAGGTTTACCCTAAGTTACAGTTAGGCAGCTTCTTTATTCTCCTTTCAAATCCATGACAATAACTAGCCCTTTGCTAACTAACAATACCACAGGCTGAGTAAAGTGCTATACAAAATTACAAAACAAGAGAGTAATGTGTTTTTAGCTTCTAGGGCTAAAGATAACTAAAGCAAGCATCAAGTCTTCCTACCTTTCTACTGGAAGTTACATACAAGTGGGAAATGAGTCATCAGAATAAGAAACATTCCGCAGTTTCCTAATAAATGTTATAACTTGATAAAATTACTATATATTACATAAAAGGGTCTCACACAAAGCTTTTGAACTAAACTATAGCGATGTTCCATTACCCTCAGCCTACTGTCACTGTGAAAAGCATGCTTCAAGGATTTTTTTATTTTAAAGGTTAAAGGGGTAACTTTAGAGATATTGCTTATTTCACAGTTAAGCTCAAGGTATTCACAATAAAATGTATAGGAATTATATTATAACCATCATCTTACATTCAGATGAGAGCCAGGGCATCCATGAACCCTTGAAATAGTATGAAAAACTGTGCTTATATACATTTTGGGAATAATAAGGGACATAATTTTTATTGGATTTTTAAAGGTGTCTGTGACCTAAAAAGTTGCGAGGACAACTTTGCAAAGCAACATCACATGCTTTATTAAATTTAGAGTAACAAAGTCAATGTTCTCATAAAGGTTTTTCTTACTTTTTATACCATACATTCAAAGGAAGGTGATATTTGTCTCCAGGGAGTAAAAATTGGTTCTGGGATGTGAAAAAATATTAGATACCATAATAGATTGTGCTCTTCATAGTATATAAAGAGACACAGAATATATTTGTGGTATTAAAATTTCATGAGGAGGGAGGTGGGGGAAAAAGGAAAAATTATCTAAAAAGGCATCTTAGGGGAGCAAAAATGAAAAAAAGGTTGAGAAACACTGGTCTACACTAAGTAACAGGAAACCCAGAGTAACAGAGTAGTAACTACACTAATGAGTTCCAGCACAGAGTAACATGCAGGGTGTGATTACCAGCCATGGAAGCCAAGCAAAACCTTTCTGTCTTTGCTCCTCACATAGCAAACTCCTCTACATAAAATGGACTCTGGAAACAAACTAATGAACAAACAAGTCCGTATGTTGAATAAGCTTCTAAAATTTCAACATTTCTACTCTTATTACACTTATTACAATTTTTCAATACCGTTAAGACATATTTAATACCCACAACAAAATTACGTTACATGAAAGTCCTCAACGTTATCAATTAAAATACTTACTTTCTTCCTGCATCCGAGCGAGAATCTGCACATCAGTTACATCATTTAGCTTGTAATTGGATCCAATTGAGTCTTCATCTAATTCTGAAGCACTTAACTCACTGTCTACAGAGGATTGAGGACTGAGTGGAGGATTTCTGTCTGATGAACTTTTCAAATTACCTTAAAAAAAGAAAAAAAAGGTGGAAATTTTGGTGAAACAAAAATTGAATAAACATCTGTTGCAATTAACTTGATATGAATCTTCTGATTAAGTTCATTATTATTCTGTTTTGTCTGCTTATAAAATTCCCAAATATTGACTAAAAATTGACTTAAGAATAAAGAGGGCTGCCCTGGCTGGGTAGCCCAGTTGGTTAGGGCATCACCCTCCCACCCCACATGCCAAGAATAAAGAGGGCTAAATGTGGCATCAGCACAAAACATTTTTTTAAACGATAATTTATCCCTCCTCTTATAAAACAGTTACGCTTTCAACACTGTTCCTGGTAAGCAGTTTTCAACAATACTTGTTAGAGGACTTTAACTTTTACAAGAGAGCCAATGATACTGCTCTATAAATAGATGAATTTATGATGTGGTGCTTTCTCCTCCCAAATTCGGTCATTAGTAAACTTTTTCTAGTCTTTTTCCCTGAATAAAAGCAACTGATTTTTCCTAAACCAGAATACTATAATTTTAGGAAAATCAGAATTCCTTAGAAAGTTAGAAACAAGCCAAAAAAAGAACACTAGCTCATTTCTCCTCCATTATGCCATGTTTACAAAACTCCCAGTGCCAAACCAGTAATAGTGATCCAAGGAATTCTTGGAAATTTAGGAGTGAAGCACAAAGATGAGGTGAAGAAAATGACTACATAAAAAAAGTATTTTATCATTCTAAACCAAAAAGGGGAATGTAAGACAGGCTACAGGAATAAAGGATATACATATCCAAAACAGTCTAAAAAACAGTCTAACTTGCTTCTAAGGAAATGCTTTCCTCAGATCAACTTCTAATGGAGAATAATAAAATCACAACAGTGTCACTACTATTACTAATATGAATTTATTTGAAATGCTTGTTTTCCTGAATTATTTACCATAAGCTCTAGTAGGAAGGCACATAAGAGCAGGAATATGAAATAGTTAATGTTCATATTATCAAGATAATAGGAATGGGAAAGTCAGACTCAAATAGTGCTGGAATAAAATGCTTTCTATTAAAAAAAATAGCAGATTAAACTTTTTAGTATAACAGTATTGGGTGAAATATGTAGCAAGTAACAACCAATGCAGAGAGCAAACAGCGGAGTCAATAAATTTCAGTCTAGGGAGCACTCAGGTCAAAAATGTGAGATGGTTAACAATATTTCAATTTCAAAGAAGTTATAATAATTAGCCATAACAATAGTAGCAATGAGTAAGTGAATGAGTGAATTCTAACAAACAGTACACTAAAGGGTAACACTGCAGTCACAGAACCAAAAAAGAACATTCTTTCCTCAATTTACAGCGATGTATCCCTCCCATTTCATTTAGGGCTCCAAACACTCTTTCAACACATTCACATATAGTCTTATACTGTGATTTAAGTACAATATCAGTATTAAAATCCTATAAAAATTTTTTTGACTTTGTAGCTTTTATAACCCAAGCAAACTATTTAATAAGCACCTACTGGTTAAAATAATCAAGCTTGGGATCCTATTTAGTGAAGCCAGCTTTTAAAACTTTTAAGTACATGTTAAAGAAAACTTCATGGATGTAAAATTGGCTTATCTGTACCCGTGTGTATAGTATCTGATGCTAAGTAACTCCTCAATGATATTTTCTCTAATCAGTTAAAAGTTTCACAAATAAAATAACTTGAACTACTGATGAATAAGGTATTTTTTGAGGCAGGGCAGTAGGTTAAAAAACATTCTTTAATCACTCCATTTCATTTTTCTCCTTACCTGAATTTCCAGGAAGTATTAGCTGTTTGACTATAGGAGGCCGCACTGGAGTTGAGGACGGAGAATTGAAACCACTGCTATATGGGCTACTTGCATTTGGACTGTAAGGACTTGTGTAACTCATGGAGTTGAAAGGATTATTATACAAGTTCTGTCTCTTGAGAGCTGCATTAATAAGGGGGAAATCAAATTTAATAACTGAGAAAAAGTTAAAAATTTGTCACAGATTTTTTTCCTATTAGGAAATGCATCAAGTCATTATATATCTCAATACAGAAACGTTCTTATAGTAGCGGGGAAGCATATATTACATCAATAATCCCAACAAAGTATTTTCATTATCTTAAATTGTGTCACACAAGTAAAAGAGTAGTCACACCAAACAACAAAATAATATCATAGGAAGAATATCTCCTCAACAAATTATTAACCACTAAGTGAATTTACTTGTATCTTAATGGAAAATTTATTCCAACTGAATCAACCCTGAATGGCCTTTAAAAATAAAATGAATGTAAAAGCATTCTTGTATTCCCTCATTTTTCTATAACAAATTATATTGCTTTTTAAAAAGAACTATGAAATGAGCTTTTAAAAATAACATTTTCAAAGTTCAGATTTTTGAAAAATAAAAAGCAGTATTATCTATTGGGCTAGGTTAATGTCAAAACATGTGAGAATGCTCTTTTATTCTTTTCAGAAGTCTCTCCCCCGCACCATTTTCTGGCCTAAGAAGATTATTCCTGCCAACAAAAAAGAAAAAACTTAGTGCTATGCATATAAAATAGAAACAGTATAAAAATACGGCTAGATATCAAGTGTAATTATATACAAGAAAAATTAATATCTAAAGTAGTATTTCTTTCTTCTACCCTATTCTAAAACCCAGTTTATTAAATATTTCTGACCATTAGCAAAGCACTGTGTAGAAACATAAACAAATGGGACATGGTGCTTCTTCTCAAGTTCTCAAGAGTCTTATAGCCAAGGAGTGTAGGCAGAAAGAAGCAATAATTTCAAGACAAAATGAAATTAGTATTATCATAAAGGTGCAAAGGTTTGTGGAAATTAGGAGATAACAGTAAGTTATCACAACTGAGAAACTAAGTAAGGCTTTTTGCAAGGACAGGCACTGCAGCAGTCTTGAGAGAATAAATAATAATTTGACATGTGACTGTAAGAGGGGAAAGTATGTGCTTTCATCTGTCTTTATAACATTAACAGAAGCCACATATTGAAAATGCACTGTATGTTCAGGGAGTAAGAGTGAGTAATCTAGAAAGGTAAAGTACATGGTGAAGGACAAAACAGGAAAACTCTGCAGAACCAGGTTATGCAAGGCCTTGAGCACTATGCTCAGGAGTCTGATCTTTATTCAATAGCAATGATAATGCCATCAGTGATTTTAGAGCAAGAATGATATGGTCCAATTACTTTAGGGAAAAACAAATTAATGGAAATTTTTATGTTGAATAGATTAGACCGAACTAGGCAGTGTAGGTGACAAAAAAGAAAAACAAAGGATAGACATTAGAAATTAGAAAGGATTACTAAAGGAAAAAAAATAAGATGACTCTGAAGTTACTGGCTTGAATACTGGTAGAATAGTGCTTTTGGCAGGAACATATTTTCTGTTTTATTGGATAGTGCAGGAAGCTAAAGAGACTAGTTTTATACATATTCACTATGAGACATCATGCCATATTTTATACATATTTCATATGTAGTATGTAGCATGAGTATGATATCAGAAATATCAACCTGAGCAGAAACGGGGCTGCTAACTTCTTCCTATCTCTTTACTCCTCCATCTCCTTTGAAGCTCATTCTCTTTTACTGGTTATTTATTTAATCACTAGCATTTCTAATCTTCGGCCCTTTTATCTTCTCACTCAGTATATCATATTCTTTTCCCTGAGAAATATCATTCATTTCCGTAACATTAGTTATTATCTGTATGCCCAAAACTCCTCATTATTTTATCTCTGTCCTAAGTATTCCTGGGCTTCAGTTCCACATACGCTGCCCATCCGGTCTCCCCTCTGCGTATGGCAAATGTGCCCCAGAGCCAACATAACCAAATTCAAACCCACAATTTTCCAAGCTTGAATTCTCTTCCAAGGTCCCTATTTCAAAATGATAACATTCATTCTGTCATGCAACTAGAAACCTAGAATTCACTGTTGATACTTTCTTGTCCCTCATTTCCTCATATTTGGTTCATTCCTTCTTACTTCCACATCTTCTCACCTCCGCTACCGGCCTTTTACCCCAACACGCACAACCTAGCTATCATCAGCCCCACCTTAAGACATCCTACATTCATTCTCAGCCCTTTCCACTCTACTCTCTATACGACAGCTAAGCAAGGCTTTTTCAAAATGCAAATCTTGTCTTCCACCCCCATACACCACATCCTTAAATTAAACCCTTGGATTTCTTCCCATTGCTCTTACAGTAAAGCTCAAAATCTTTAACATGGCCTATAAGGCCTTGCAGAGCCTTCCTTCGCCATCTTTCCGGCCTTATCTCACGTTGCTTCCCTTCTCACTGCGCTCCAGCCACCACGGCTTGCTCATGTTCCTAACGCAGGCCTCGCTCCTGCCCACATACCTACAGGGCCTCCCACAGGTCCTGTGCACAAGCTGTTCTCGACCTGGAACACCCTAATACTCTTTCACCTTTCTCCTTAGTCTATTAAATTTTTCTGACTCTTTCGGATGCAGGTTAAACATCACTTCCTGAGGTAAAATTCCTATTTCTCAAAGCACTGTATATGATTCCTTTATTACAGATCACCAGTTAAAATATTTATATTTACATTTCCCCTACTAGAAGTTAAACTCCATGAAGGTAGGTACTGTGATTTTAGTCATCATGTATCCTCCACTCTTTCTTCAATGCCTGATAAATTAACAGGCTCTCAATAAATATTCATTGAAGATATACATGAATGAACTAGATTATCTGAATACAGATGATGCTGAATAACCATATGGATGGAAGAAATCGTCACAACAGAGAGAAGTGGGGCGAGAGACCTGGGGAAGCCTAAACTTAAAAGACGGCCAGATGGGTAGAAAAAGGAGGAATGCAAAGTGTACTGGACCCAGTATGTTAGCACAGGCGGACGAAAGAGTACTGGAGGTGGGCAGTGGCGACGGCTGGACAGCAGAGTGAACGCACCTCGCACCACTGACTTGCATATTTAAAACCGGTAGAAGTAGAACATTCTGTGTTACATACATTTTACCACACACACACACACACACACACACACACACACACACACACAAAGGTGGGCAGAAGGAAGACTATTCAAAGAAGACTGAAAAGAAAACAGCAGGAAGGGTAGGAGAAGGTAAAAAAGATAATGCACTACTGCAAAAAGCAAAAGAATAACATCATAGGAACAAGTCGTAGTGCACTGCAGAGAGGCTGGTGAGATGGAGCAGAAACTGTTCTGCCAAGAAGCTTTCTCTGCCTTATTGAAAAATATATTTAAAAAACAATCGCTCCTCTAACTTGGGAAAAGGGAGTTTAGGACTACAAGATTTAAACTTGAAATAGTTAAGTTATTTTTCCTTTAAACATTTTTCCTATAAATATGCGGCTGTATATTTATAGCTGTAGCTATGAATATAATGTGCATATATGGCTATAAAATCTAGACACTGTTAAACAGATCTAGTACTTGAGTACATCTGGTTTTGGTTCAAGGGCAAAAGCTTCTTATACACTCCTACTATCTTTAATACCCTTTATAATAAAGCAAAAAAAGCCACTCATTCAAATTGCTACTTTTGAGGTGTAACAACTTTGGTTTTCTCCTGTAAGTCCAAGTTGCTAATTACCAATTGCTAATAGTTCCCATTTCTCAGGATGTTTTAAACCAGGAATTGGTGAACCATACACCTGTGAGCCAAATCCAGACCACCACCTGTTTTTGTAAATTAAGTTTTATTGGAACACTGCCACACCTATTCATGTATGTATTATCTAGGGCTGCTTCTGTGCAATAGGGCAAAGTTAGGTAACGGCTACAGAGACCTTATAACTCACAAAGCCTCAACTATTTACTACCTGGCCCTTTACAAAAAAAGTTTACCAACCCCTGTTTTATGTGTATATTTATCTATTCATTGTCTGCTTCCTCTATTAGAATATAAGTTCTAGGAAGAAAGGGACTTTTTCATCTATTTTATTCATTGCTATGGCCTCAGAGTTAAGAACAATGCCCACCTAGCACATGGTAGGTTATGAACATATACTTTTGAGTGATGCAAATTTTTAATTATTATTTTTTTATTTTTTTAAGATTTTTAAAATCATGTTTATTCTATCACAGTTGTCTCAATTTTCCCTGTTTACCCCCCTCCATCCATTCCCGCCACTCCCTGCTCCCACAGTCAATTCCCACTCTGTTGTCCATGTCCATGGGTCATTCATACATGTTGTCTAGTCCCTTCTCCTTTGTTCCACCATTGTCCTCTTTCCCCATCCCCTCTGATCACTTTCAGTCTGCTCCATGTTTCTATGCCTGTGGCTTATTTTGTTCAGTAGTTTATTTTGCTGAACAGATTCCACTTATAGGTGAGATCATATGGTATTTGTCTTTCACCAACTAGCTTATTTCCCTGACATAATATTCTTCAGTTCCATCCATGTTGTTGCAAAAGGTAGGAGTTCCATCATTCTTTCTTTCTTTCTCTTTTCTAAATGGAGATTGATTTTATTTTTTTAAATGTCAAAGTCAATTATAAAACATTAAAAAATTTAAAGCCATTATAAAGTCTCAGCAAGTAAAACAACATGACACCAGCACAGAAATAATCAAGTACATCAGTGAAATAAAATGAGCATTCTAGAAACAAGTATATATCTGTCTAACAATGTAATATATGATTAAATTGGTATTTCAAATCAATGGGGAAAATAAGGCTTATTCAACATATAAAGTGCAAGGACCACTATTATTTGGAATAAAATATTGAGCCCTATTTCACACATTATACAAGAAATATTCAGGTGCGTTAAAAATCAATACGTAGAATCTAAGGAGTTTTAGGAGAAAAATATAAACTAATATTTTTCTTACCCTGAGGTAAAATATTCAAACCCAAAAGCTATAAAGTAAAATATTGACAATATGACTATATTAAACATTTAAGATTATATAGTAATATACATATAAAAAATTAAAGGACAAGTAATAGAATGGGAAAGTATTTGCCACACATGTAAAAAAGGGTTAATACATTGTTTTGGTCTTCTTTTTATAGGGAAAAAAATTCTACAAACCTTTAACTGATAAATGGATGAAGAATACCAAAAAGTCATTTAAAGCTTTTTTTTTTAAATAATAGAAATAGGCAAGAAATATACAAAAACAGGTTTATAGTTTCAACAAATAATAAAGGGACAATTGAAATAACACATCATTGTCACAATCAGATTAATACGTACTAAAAATTACTGGTAATATCAAGTATTGGCAACTGTGAAAGGAGCTGGGTATTCATCTTCTTCATCTTTTTCTTCATCTTCTGAAAGCAGTCCCTTCAGTATATTGTGCAGTGCTGGTTTGGTGGAGGTGTATTCTTTTAGCCTTCTTGTGTCTGGGAAACTCCTTATTTCACCTTCCATTTTCTTGAGAGCCTTGCTGGGTAGAGCAGTCTTGGTTGCAGGCCTTTGCTTTTCATGACTTGGAATATTTCTTGCCACTCCCTTCTGGCTTTCAATGTTTCTGTTGAGAAGTCAGCTGCTAGCTGTATTGGGGCTCCCTTATATGTTACTACCTCTTTCTCCCTTGCTTGCTTTAGGATTCTCTGTTTGTTTTTGATATTTGCCATTTTAATTATGATGTGTCTTAGAGTGGGCCTCACTGGGTTCCTCTTGAATGGGGCCCTCTGTGCTTCCTGGACTTGTGTGACTTTTTCTCTCCTCAAATTAGGGAAGTTTTCCATCATTACTTTTTCAAACAGGTTCTCTATCCCTTCCTCATCCTCTTCTCCTTCCGGTATCTCTATTATGTGGATATTATTCCATTTCAGGTTGTCCTGCATTTCCCTAAATACCTCTTCATTCTTTTTGAGTCTTTTTTTATTTTCTTGCTCTTTCTGGGAGCTTTTTTCGACCTTGTCCTCCAGCTTGCTGATTCAATCCACTGCTTCATTGAGCCTGCTTTTGATTCCTTCTACTGTGTTCTTTAATTCAGAAATTGTATTCTTCATTTCCTCTTGTCTCTTATTGATAGTTTCTATGTCCCATTTCATGCTGATATAGTTTTCAGTAAGTTCCTCGTAGTTTCCCTGTAGTTTTTTGTAATTCCCTCTGAGCTCATTGAGCTCATTGAGCTTCCTTAGAACTGTTGTTTGGAACACAATATCTGATACTTTACTTGCCTCTATTTCATTTAGTTCTCTTTGTGGGGATCCCTCCTTTCCCTTTGACTGGGGCATATTTCTTTGTCTTCCCATTATTTGTGAGACTCTTCTTTTTGGCTTCTGCTTCTTAAATTGATCTGTCTTGATTTCCTGACTTTGTGGTGTAAACTTCTATGATAGAAGACTGCTGTTTTTACTTCCTGGATCTGCCTCTGATTGAAATTTTTTAATTAAATTGTATAATGTACTTACATTATTTCTCAGGCGAGAGTACTAGAAAATTTTTCCTAAAAATATTTTAAATAAAGGTCTAAATAATATCATTTAACTGAAATGCTAGAAATTTTCTAGTTGTTTCCAACTGTGAAATACTAGGCTGTCTACTAGCCTGCCTATGTATTTCTAAAAATCTCTTAGGAATGTAATTTAAATTAAGCTCCAGGATATAATTCTAAAAACATTTGATATCCAGACAGAAGCATTTTTAAAAAGTACATAAAGGCTATTGCTTTTTACAAATGGATTCTCTACATAGGGGAAAAGACTTTAGTATCAAAAATGGCTCAGAAGCTCTGTAATCATATCCTAGATGTCATTTTCATATAATAACCATTACTCCTTACAACCAACCAACTGCACTTTACTTATGCTATTTAACTGTTTAGTTTCCCCTTTGCCTCCCATGACCATTTTCAGCTTACTGTCTAACAGGAGAGCACATTATTTCAATAATATCAAAATAAATGATACAAAGCAAAGAACCCAAAAACCTATTTAGGATTAGTAATCATGCATCAGTCCTTTACTACGAGAGTATCCCAGAGCATAGTGACATTCTCAAGAGACAGAGAAATTCCAAGAAAGAGTGAATAATATTTGTCCGACATTTCTACCCACACAGACATGCTACATTAAGTGCCATAGTCACAGACACATTCTGCCAGCTTTGTGAATACTATAAACAAAAGAGCATAAAAGCAATTTAAACTTAAAATGCCAAGTTGAAAGGGAAAAAAAAGTAAAACATAACTAGGAAGGGAAATGAATACATTTACTAAGCACCTACTATGAGTCAGAAAAACATGCGAGGCTCTTTCATAAACATTATCATTTAACCCTTAAAACAACCTTACAAGGTTCTGTATTCTTATGAGAAAACTTAAGTAATGCGCAGACACACGCAGTACATAAATGCTAGAGTAAGAACAAGGTCTTTTGGGTTCTCAACTTGTATCTTTCTACCATATCAGAATTTCCACAAGGGTGGTAAGTGAGTTAATTTTTTAAATATTTTAAACTTTTTTAAAATTTTAAATAGTTTTTATTTTTTAAATTTTTAAAAATAGTTTTAATTTTTATTGGGAGAAAAAATGCTATCACATAAAATTTAATATTTCTTGAATATTATTCTTTATTTATCTATTTATTATCAGCTTCCTCTGCTAGAATGTAAGTTCTAGGAAGTCAGGGACTAAAGTAAAGGCTAAATAAAAATGACAAGATTGAAAAAAGTGATGTAAATAACAGAACAAGGTTATGTGCATATGGCAAAAATTCATGATGGCATGCACAATAAAATTTGAAAAACATTACCAAGCAAAGAACTGCCTTCTAAAAACACACTTAAACATATATTTGTGGGGGTTTTTTGAATTAAAGAAAGCAAAGAGATGAATTTAGAAGTAAACTTATAGACATACCTGACATAGTTTGATCAAGTTTGTGGATAAGAGATTTTTTAGCACATTCAACATCAGGACTTGGGTAATCCAAAACTTGCCTGCACCAAACTAATGGGCTAACCGATTTCTGCATTGGTGTAAGTTTTTTCTTTGGTGATGAATACAGCCTAGAAGAAAAACAAAAATGAAAGGGTAACATTCATTATTAAGCACCAGGATAAAAGATAGGGATCCTTTTGAATAGATTTAAATGGAAGAGGGGAGTAAAAATAATGGAGTATGTTTTAAAATCACATTTACCTTATGCACAGGAAGAAAATGACACTATAACCATCAGTACAAATCCATATTAAATGAACCCAAATAAGGCCAACTATCCATTCCAAAAGTGTGTCTTATTTTTCTCTTTTACTCTCTTTACAAAAACTATGAGGAAACATCTATCTTTAAAGTAGTTTATTCTGTTTTCAATAGTACTTAATTAACTCCCTCATAGAACCATATCATTTAGACTTGTCTCGGAGGCAAAATGGAAAAGATAAATATTTTGTTTTCTATTTCCCAGTTCTCTTTCTACCACAAACCACATAAAAGTCTACCATTAGTATTTCATTTCTTTTAGTTAAGCAGTACCCATACTGTAGCCCTCTTGTCAAACAATAATATTTCTGAGAAAAGCAACACTTCCTCCTAATAACCTAATAACATTTTATGAATGGATTTATGAAATTACATCAATCTAAGGAAAGAAAGGAAGGTATTTTATAAATAAGTTCCTGGGTAAGGCATGCAAAAAGAAAAAGGAAAGCAGAAGAGAGGGGTGGGGTGCACTTAAATTTCCTACTTCATAATTTTTCCTCAAAGTAGTCCCTATTATGCCAATTGGTATTATTTTATTTCAAAAGTGGCTCCATATGAAAAATATGAAGTTACTAAACTCTAACCAGTGGTTTTTAAATGGAATTAAGTAAATAAAATTATGCTTTGATACATCTACATATTAAATGTCTCAATAAAGCAAGGAGTTAATAATTTCACATTTTACATTAATTAAATCAGGGCACTAAAATGAAGTGTATTCTGGAATAAGTGTCTTTCTACAGTACTGGAATTGACAAAGCACTTTACAAAGGCAATATATACATTTACCATCTCTTTGCTCCTCTCCCCTATCTATAACTTAAGTCTGCCATTTATCTCAATTATTTAACTCTGACCAAGATCATCAACACTAACGGGAAAACGATCACTTCTCTAGTCCATACTCCAGATTCATCAGGACAAAAATAATGAGATAGAACCTTGATTTATTAAATAACTTATTAACAATTCAAAATGAAAATGAAACCAATGGATTTCATTCTATTATTTCCAACTTAATTACTGCAAATGTCTCAACAAATCTCTCTGCCTCAGCATCCTGGCTTCACTGTGGTAATATCATATACCAATATTCTATGTTAGCAAGTATTTAGCAAGTAAAGTCTATAGATGAACGACAAACATTCATAAAACCACTTTATGATGTTATCACTACTCTTTCAATATATAACTTTTCCCTGCACTAACTGGTTTCACACAATTTACCTACAGGACTCACATGTACTTATTAGTATCTTCCTCTACTATTAGCTATAAAACCCATTTAAAAAAGTACAAGCAACATGAGTGAGCCTCAAAAAACACGCCCAGTGAAAAGAAGCCAGACACAAAAGAACACATTTTGTTTTATTCCATTCACCTAAATGTCTACAAAAGTGCATGGAGCAGAAAGTAAATTAGTTGTTGTTTACTTAGGCCTGGAGGTAGGAATGGGTATGAGGTTTCTTCTTAGGGGGATATAAATGCTCTAAAAATTACATGGCAGTGATAGTTGCGGTAAGTATCTTTGCTGTAAATATACTAAATTCATTGAATTACACAATGACTTTTATGGTATATAGATTATACAGGTACCGGTAAATTTTACAGTATGTAAATTATATCTTGCTAAAGTTTTTTATAGAAAAGTTGTAAGGTAGTTTTAGCATTTTTAAAAACAAAGAAACTACTATAAACTAAATAAATGGAACATCAATAATTTAAAATCAATTAAACTAAAATATCATCATCTCTCCTACACCCCATAAGTAGCTTTCCTGTTTTTGTCAGTGGCACTGTAATTCTTTCAGTTAAAGAAGTTCAAAACTTAAGAGTAATTTTGGATTCCTCCATTTTTTTATTTCTGACCCTCACCAAAAAACTCTGAAAACAAGTCCTGTGGATCCTACCTGCGTGTATAAACTACCTTCTCCCCTGCCCCTGTTCCTAGTGTTGCATTTACCCCCTAACTAGCAATAGAGAATGCTTCTTCCTTCCGTAGATTGTGGCAACTGTTCCATTCCTAAAGTGATGAAAAAGGGGAGACTGATTCAATAATCCCCGGGATACGCTAACTATCTTCTATCACTCTACCCTCTTATTTCAGGGCCCTATCACTACCCCCAAGTAAAGTTGAAGAGTTTTGGCCCATGTGGTATTGGCCCAAAATTATTTTTCAGTCAGGGAACCTTTGGTCATGGTTTCAAAGTACTTCTAAACCTGCCAGGGGACATACGAGTCAGGTTGTAGTGTGCAAGACCAAGGGGTTTCAGTCTCTGAATTTTAAACAGAAAATCCCAAATTAAAATATTTGCAATAACTATATATATCGCTCCCTCTGCTCATTTCTTACAAACACAAAAATTCTTCAAAATAACCTTTTTGGCCTTGGCTGGGTGGTTCAGTTGGTTGAAGCATTGGCCCGCACACCAAAAGGATACCGGCTGGATCCCTGGTCAGGGCGCATGAGTGAGGCAACTGGTCGGTCTCTGTCTCTGTCTCCGTCTCTGTCTCTGTCTCTCTCCCCCTCCCCGAGCCCCCTCCCCCCCCATAAAATCAATAAACATATCCTCAGGTAAGGATTTTTAAAAAATAACCATTTTGCCTACTATAAACCTTTTTTTCCATCTGACACTTTTAAATTTCTTCAATGATAATATATGGTTTAATCAAGACAAATCAGACTTATTTCTGATGGACACAGCCAGTTTACTGATGGTCAATGCAACCTACAACAGGTTGAGATTTCCCAAGTTTTTACTTGCCAAAAAAACTTGAAACCTATTACTTCATTACCCTATTTCTGCTAAAATTAAGTCATAGAGGCCCAGTAGGTAGTTGAACCTCCAGCCCTACCCAGCAGCAAGGAGGCAATGGAAAGTGGGTCACCTTTGTCTCCCTTTTCCCCATCTCCAATGTGTCCGTAGGACCCAGTAGGGAGCTGATCTAACATCCCATCCATTTGGAAGGAGGTAGTGTGAGCCACTGCTCCACTACTGAAGTGGTATCAGCAGTGCCTAGCAGGGAGGTGAACACCCACCCATCCAGGCCTAGGCACTACACACAAATAAGGTGACTGACTGACTACTAAAAAAGAAAAAAATATAATTATGAGTCTTCCAACATAACGCCTAGAACATTCAGAATATGAATTGAAAACCACTCATCATACCAAGAACACAACTGAAGGAAGAACATAGAACAGAAATGACTGATCAAGCTGAAAACAAACAGCAAAAATGAATGCATGAATGAATATGGCAGACAAATTCAATCATAGCAAAACAATAACCAGAGAGCTGGAGTTTAAAATAAGAAATAGTATTAGAGACAAATAGAAGCCTATCAATAAATCAGGATGATATAATAAATATAAACATACCTAATAACTAATAAAATTGAAAGGAAAAAGAGACAATTCAGAATTTTGTTTGAAGTTTTCAATAGCCCCCTCTCAGCTGAAAAAAGAATTGGAGAATCAGCAAGGATACAGAAGACTTGAAAATGTTATCAATCAACTTCACTTAACCAACACTTCTGGAGTACTCTAACCAAAAATAAGAGAATACACATTATTTTTACTTGCAAGTACAACATTCTCCAGGATATAATACCATCTAGACCATTAAAAAGTTTTTATGAATTTGAAAGAATTGAAATTCACCAATGTCTGTTCTCTGACCACAAGGGAATTAAATTTTAGAAACCAACAGCAAAAAATTTCATAAATCCCAAATATTTGGAAATTAAATATCCTCATAAATAACCACAGGTCAAGGAACACATCACAAGGGAAATTAGAAAATACCTTGATCTAAAAACAAAACAAACATACTGATAAATATGATGAAGCTAAGGAAGTACTTAGAGGAAAATTTATAATTTTAAACATATATCAGGAAAGAAAAGAGGTCTCAAATCAACAATCTAAGAATTAAAAAATAAGAGCAAATTAAGCCCAAGACAGTAAGAAGGAAATTATAAATACAGGCAGGAATTAAAGAAATGAAAAATAGAAGAAAAATATCACCCAAGTTTGCCTTTTGAAATGATCGAAAGTTAACAAATCTTTAGATTTACCTAAAAACATGAGAGAAAACAAATTACCAAAATCAGAAATAATACTCAGAGTGAACACTGGTACAAACACTATTAATATCAAAAGGATTTTATTACAATGGAATAATACTATAAGGAAGTATTATGAATAGCTTTATGCCAACAAAACACCTAACATAGATAGATTAGACAAATTCCCAGAGAAATACAAGTTACCAAATGGAACTCAAAAGTAAATAGAGAATCTGAGGATACTTATAAAAATAAATTATATTAGTAATTAAAAAACCTTCCTGGGGCAGGGGGGGGAAGCCCAGGCCCAGATGCCTTCACTTAACTAATTTTATCAATACTCAGGAAAAACTAATGCCAAACCTACACAAACTCTGTTAGAAAAATAAATCTAATGGTGAAACACTGAATGCCCTTCTTAAGACTAGGAATAAAGTTAAGAATATATGCTTTTATTCCTAGTCAACACTCTACTAGAATATACACTCTTATTTCTATTTAGTATTGTACTGGAGTGCCTAGCCAGTGCAATAAGGCAAGAAAAAGAAATTAAAGACATTCTTATTGGAAAGAAGTAAAATTGTCTTTATTCACAGACAACATAATCCTGTATACAGAAAATCCTCTGTAGAAACCTACCCCCACAAAAAAACCCCAACTCAAATAAATGTGTTTAGCAAGGTCACAGAATATAAGATCACTAGGCAAAACAAATCAATTGTATTTCTATGTATTA